GGGCGGATCACCTGAGGTCGGGAGTTCAAGACCAGCCTGACCAACATGGAGAAACCCCATCTCTACTAAGAATACAAAATTAGCCGGGTGTGGTGGTGCATGCCTGTAATCCTAGCTGCTACTTGAGAGGCTGAGGCAGGAGAATCACTTGAACCTGGGAGGCAGGGGCTGTGGTAAGCCGAGATGGTGCCATTGGACTCCAGCCTGGGTAACAAGAGCGAAACTCCGTCTCAAAAAAAAAAAAAAAAAAAAAAAATAATAATAATCTTTTTTTTCTCCCTAAGAACTGTAACTATCCAGGAATAAATGAATGAATGGTCTTAATCAGCTACCTTTGCCTCAAAGCAGACTTTTCCCTTTGTCACTCCGTAAGTACTCCTTGCCCCAGACCAAAGGGTGGGGAACTTCTCTGAGAAAAGGGGCTGCCCTCCATAGCGGTCTTTGCTCACTTGAAAATGCAGATCCGAGGTATCTGTAAAGAAAGAAGCAATCAGTTTACTCCAATGTCCAATACTTGTAAGCCACCAACAGAGCACAAGTGTAGCCAGTTGTTGAAGTGGATACAAAGTCTCATAGAATTTATAGGCTATGAAGTTTTAATCTCCAAAATCACTTTTAGGAGATTAGTTAAAAACCACAATCTGTCTGCCTTATACATACACGTGTCCAGGTTCACAAGAGTTTGATCCTCCTCCTCATCTTTTGCCTCTTCTTCAGGAGGCAGTGGAGACTTTGAGCTATATATGTAAGATAGAAAAGAAACACAATGTAAACAAAGTCCTCTTCTTTGAGAGGTGTGTGTATGACATTATGTCCATTTTAAACTATCAGTGAATATCAAATCCCAGCAGACAGCTTTTTTCAATAAATGAGAAAGGGCAATAGGAGTTTCCATGGTAGATGCAATCTAAAACTCATGCCTATAAAAACCTATTCCATTTTGAATCCACCCTCCTTCCAGTCTCTCCAGTCAATACCAGGTATACCAAAATCAGAGCAGACACTCCCTTCAAGGAAAGGGACTGTTTCCCTCACCGGCTGTGGTAAGCCTCCTCTCGGAATTCATAGTAAGCTCGGCCATGTTCATCCTTCTCATCCCGCTGTCTCTTTACCCCCCGCCGCTCACCATCTGAGCCTGCTGGTTTTGACTTTTCACTATCTTGGTCATCTCCTACAAAAACGAGGGAAAGAAAATCAGCAGTTTTCATACTGGAGTGTAGAATAAGCTCAGAACTAATAGACACTAACAGGGAATCTGAGAATCTGTCTGATCAAAACAACTAGGTTATTCCCACTACATTCACAGAACATTTTATTTCTAAAGATCATCTTTCTGTCATTGGCTGTGATTTTATTTTATTTTTTAAAAAAGGGACATGGGCTAATTACAGTCAAGCAGTAGATAAAAATTGGACAATTTTTGCATTCTAAATTTATCCACTTAAATCAGGTCAAACTTGCAGATTTCCCCAACAATATGACATAAAAAATATCCCCTAGGTCTCTAAAAAAACTTCAAAGGTTAATTTGACTCTTGTCAGATCTAGATTTAAGGTAGGCAGTTAATACGTATTTTGTAACACTTTTCCACAACTTCATGATACAGAGAAGCCTCAATTTTTCTTTTCCCTTTCCTGCTTTGAAATGCACAGCCAAATGGACTCAAGTGCATTAAACATAGTTGTATTTTTACCAGGGACTTCTACTGAAAGTTGTAAGAGCAAACCACTAAGTCATAAGAGATCCATAAATAATACCTCATCTATACTGCACATAATTTGGGGCAGAAAGGTGGTGTTGTACATTTAGCAACATTCTCTACAAGAGGAAAAACCCTGGAATTTTTCCCTAGGCTTTTGCATTTTGCAACGCTAAGGTTTTTAATAATAATTTCTTTAAAAATCTTTTATCCTTCAATATATATGTTTTTGAGATGGAGTCTTGCTCTGTCGTGCCCAGGCTGGAGTGCAGTCTTGTGATCTCGGCTCACTGCAACCTCTGCCTCCCCGGTTCAAGCCATTCTCCCACCTCAGTCTCCCAAGAAGTTGGGATTACAGGCACCCGCCATCACGACCGGCTAATTTTTTGTATTTTTACTAGAGACAGGGTTTCACCATGTTAGCCAGCCTGGTCTCGAACTCCTGACCTCAGGTGATCCACCCGCCTGGCCTCCCAAAGTGCTGGGATTACAGGCGTGAGCCACCACACCCAGCCTATCCTTCAATATTTTTATCTGCTCTTTAGGATACACATAAGTCAAAGGTTATGTAATGGGATTTTTGTTCCAGGACACAGGACAAACAATCTGCAAGTTGCATGTGATTGTTGTACAATGGGTTCAGACTCTGGGTTAGTGGCCTAAAAAAATGACTAACAAAAGAACTAGGGCCACCCACCTTATAGTAAGACTTATCCTCCCTACTCTGACATAGTGTTATGGATCAGTTGTAATCATCCAATCACTTCAAAAGAAAGGAGAAAGGTCACTAACTCCCTGGGGCAATTCTACAACACACTCTTCCACAAGCTTACTCAACGGACCCACCAGCACCTCAATCATTACCAGTCAGGAAACGTGGGACCTGAAATGTAAAAGGCGCTAGCACCAGGTATTCAGCAAATCTACAAACATGCCCATCCACGGACTCAGTGGGAGAATTAAAATGTAGTCATAATCCAAGCAAGATAAAAACCCTAGCCAAGTAACGTTAACTAACTCTAAATGCACATGATTAACGTTTTCTCTTCACTGGTTAACTATTAAACTCGACAGTGTTACACTAGAAGCTCTCCCCTACAGCTCAAAGAAGAGCAAAGTTGGATTTTCAGATTCTCTGGCTCAAGCTCTGGTAACATGCTTTTAACTGAGCGGACTTTGACGGACTTCGATTTTCGCTTAACATTTTTACGGTGAAAAAGTTAACAGGTAGTCCAAAGGCCTGACCCTCTAACCGTGGCCCTAGTTCTCCGTGTAATCCCCAATTGCTTAGCACGTTCTCAACTAAGAAAAATATAACAAGCACCGTGGGAGACTGTTCCACAGGTAGCTCACAAGCAGTTCGCATACAAAATCACTCACTGCCATCCACTATCACCAAGGAACCAAGTTAGGCAGGAACCTTCCTCCTGCAAAGAGTAGGACCACGAGGGGCGGTCTAACCCCTCAGAAAGGTGGGTAGAGAATGAAAGGCATTCCATCAGATGGCACTTTGAGGCAAGCGAAAGCAAGGACTCGGACCCCGCGGTGCAGGGCGGGGTGCTAGATCAGGGGAGCAGCCGGCAGGTTGGAGCAGGGCTCGGCTGCCAGCTCCTCACCCTGTTCCTCGGCGGCCTTGTCACCCGGCACCTCGGATCCCGGCGTCTCGTCCCCGCTCCGTTCCTCGGGTTCGTCTTCCTCCCCCTTGCCGGGGCCCTGCTCTTCGCCACCATTTACCCCGCCTGACCCGACCGTGGTTTCCACCGGCTTCTCGGAAGCATCTGGCTCGGCTGCGGCCTCCATGGCTGCCGCCTCCG